TTACTGCATGAGATAAGGAAATAAGCATAAGAATTATGATTAGCATGTATAATGTGGGGGAGGGGGACATGGGCAGGGCTGTACAACACAGAGAAGTAGTGACTCTACAGCATCTTACTATGCTGGACAGTGACTGTAATGGGGGATGTGGGGGGACTTGGTGATGGGGGGACTCTAGTAAACAATGCTCCTCATGTAACTGTAGATTAATGATACCAAAAATTTTTTTTAAATGTATAAAAAAAAAAAAAGAAAATAAGCAGAAGACACAGCTCTTTTCCTAAGAACAAACAAAACAAACAAAAATATCCGTAAGTTATATATTGATATCCATGTTTACAGATGGGAAAGATAAGACATGCAATTTGAAGTATATAAAGTCAGATAGCTAGCTAATAAATGGTAGATTTTGAATTCAAATCAGCTCTAACTACAAAGCCCTTGCTAACCATAAACAATGCAAAACAACATAATAGCCAGAAAAAAGGTACAAAAGAAGCAATCCCAAATTTATTTCTTCTGTTCCATTCCCACTGCCAATACCCTATTTCAAAATTTCTGCAAATCTGGTATTGAGAGGGCCACTTAAACATCATCTAGGAAACCTATTTAAATAAATATTTCTAGGCCCAACCCTGGAGATTCTGAGTCGCTGGTATGGCATGTTTCTGATGCACTTTTTTTAAACCATATCCCTTACTCTTGTTCATTCATTCATTCACTCAACAGATTTGAGTACTTAACATGCACCAAGTCCCATACCTTCATCCCAAAGAACTCTTCTACACCTGATCCTATTGCATTCCATTCTGCAAGTATTCTACAGGCCTTATTTTCAACATTTCACTCCTGTACTAGAGGATTTTTATTTTCTCTCAAATAAAATTATTTTGGAACAAAACTTTGCTGACATATAATGAACACTTGCTATACAGTAAGTGCTCAATAAATTTAAGTTCCTTTTCTTAATACACAATCTAGATCTGCAGTATGTTATTAAAATCCTTAAAAGGAGAGCTCAGATCCTACCTTTACTAAAACTCCCTTGACCCTTCCTGAACACAATAATCTCTTTCCTTACAACCTATAGAACAGCTATTACTGTCAGAAAAGTACGTATCTTAACATTTGATTAAATTCAGTCTTCTACCATCCTCTAATTTTTTAATGATATTTAGCCCTTGACTCATTAAAATTTTTGAGAGCAGACTGTATTAACTTTTTCATTATAATTCCAAGAGTACCTAGCCTGCTACATAAGTATATATTAAGGCTTGATTTGACCACTTTTTCTACTTACGCAAGTAATCCTTAAATTACCAATACTGCTTTCTGTCTTTATGAATTGTCTCAATACCCAAGCAATTCAAAATTATCAAAGGCTCATCCCGTACCTATGGAGACTTTATATAATGCAATGGCTCTACCACACTCATTTGCTACAATACCTTGCACAAGCAGTTTAACCTCTCTAAACCTAAGTTTCCCGTCTGTAAAACGAAGATAAATACTTCTCAAGTTGACATGAAAAGTACATGAGATACTATAGCGTATTTAGTATAGGACCTAATACACGTAATTCTTGATAAACGTCAGCTGTTAGCATTTCCTGATAAAACCTAAAGAGTAAATAATCCCTAGAGATTACATTTAAACAAAGTGACATTAAAGTAAATCTAGGAATCCACATATCCAGGGAAAAAAAATCTAAATCAAGTCAGAAAGATCTGCACAGAAAGCTTTCTCTAATTAATTAAATCAAATGTGGAAGGCTAGATTTTTTAATAAGATAACTTTAAACAAGAATAGAGTTAACCTTACTAATAATACAAAGCAACATGCATAGTTCTGAAAGGGGGCTTAGAAGTCCCCATGGTGTAACAAAAAGAGCACAAGGTTAAAATACAGGAAAGCCTCAGTCCATACAGCATCTCTTACCCTTGCTAACAACATGACATTTAAAAAGTAATTTAAAATCTCTAGTGCTATTTTCTCTCTATAAAATGAGGTAAAAATAGCTGTCACAAGATTAAATAAGGTAATAAAAAGCCTGGCCAGCAGGTTCTCTACTAGTGGATTGTTCCCTTCTGTGCTTAAAAATAAAATTTCTGAACTGTGTTTTATAATAAGACTGGAGAGTTCATCAGATACACAATCCAAAGTCAATATTTCAACACAGAATTTGCAGGCAGGAAAAGAGATTGGCAGAAAAGGAAAGGAAAACAGAAAAGATTTTAGTTAAGTCTAAATAAGAATCTGACTTCTCAACAGGAGCATGTCTGTTATGCTTGCTTCAAACAGCATGCAAAACCTGACCCATGAAAGGAGTAAGAAATTTAATGAATGTTTTTTAGTAACAAGATACTGTGACTGTTTCTGCCCTTGGAGATGACTGGAGAAACAGCATTATTAATTATTATATATGCCAACTCATGTAAGAAACATGAACTTCCCCCACCCAGTCAGCTTTTCCCCACTGCTCTCAAGATCATTCTATCTATATTAATAGCTGGAATGTGGCCACAAGACAAACTCTTCATATATCAACTCCAACAAAATATTTATGCTCCTATTTAAAAACTGCTAAGAAGCTTAACTCAATTAAGAAAATTCCTTCATTCATTCTAGATCTGAATATATCAAAGAGTTCTAAAATAAGGCTATATTAATAGTAACCTCTATCATAATCAATGGAATTTACCAATGCAGTATTTATCAAGAAAAAAGATAATGGGGAAAACGAAATTTCACAACACAAAACTATCTATCCCAGCTACACCATAATAAAAGTACATAAGGAATTCCCTTATTTGGCTTGAATGTTGAAGAAATGAATGAAAATATACAAAAAGTAATTTAAGATAATCTTCACTTTACAAGTGTTAAAATGTTTTAAAAAATGTTTTTCTCATCACTGGTAGCAGGTTTGAGTTCTTTAATTTAGTTCTTAAACACCCAGCTCTATCAATGTACAGACCAAAAAAGTGTGTAGATATATTATCAATACAAAAGTATTTTTTTCTAAATTCTTTTCAAAAGGAGTTTTCTTTTATGACCTGAGCTTAGGTGATTCCTTATCTTATGTTGAGAAAATGCATCTTTGATGGAGGAACTCTAATTTTAAACACTGGAATTAATATTAATGTTTGCTAACTTTTACAGCTTTTCTTATCTAAGACCTCCAAATTTCACAGATAGCCACTTATTTCAGTCACCTTTTGCCTAACTTACATAATGGAATGGAATGAGCACCCTGATGCAGGTTATAATTTTTAACTTACATTTAGTGGGTAGTTGTAATTAGAAACCTGAAAGATGAATGCATTTTCTAAAGCATAAAGGAACGCATAAACAAATTAATGGGTGCAAAATTTGCATCTGGGAACCAGAGTATTCTGGAACATAAAACTCCCCATATTAAGATCGTTCTTAAATAATGCTTATCATAGGCCCAATCTAAATGAGCTATCCTTTGTGTGCTAACAAAGCTGAAGGTGTAACTTTCCAGAAGCTGCATTAATAGTCAACAAGAAAGATCAAAAAGCCTTTTGAACACCAAAATAAATGGGCCTCTAAAGGTGGAATTTCAGATTGTGACAGTCAGTAAATGAAAGTGAGGGTCAATGGAGACTCCTCATCAGTTCCATTCAAATCATAATGAGTGCCCAGTTAACCTCTCCTTGCCAGGTAAAAATAATATAATAACTGAAATACTAAAACAAACATACCCTAAATAAAAATTGAACCCCTCTCCCCACACCTCCTGGTCACTCATCATTTGTTTTAAATTCAAGGTTGCCCTACCACGAGGTCACTTGAGGACAGTTAACCTCAATGAAATACCTAGTACACTAATTTAAAAATAACCAAAACTATATTTCAAAGCGGAAAAATGAAGTGAGAAAAAGTAGCATCCTACTTAAGATGTGACTATGCTGTTTATTATGGCAACAATTACACTAATTTTATTGACAACACAATAATATATAAAATACTACGTAGTAGCATTTTTCACGTCAAAAAAACTCATCTGAAAATTCCTTCTCAGTCAGGCAAATTCTAACTTTAAAACTGGCCGTAAACATGAAACTACTCACCAATTAGAATAAGAAGGAAGAGAAATAAAATCCTGGTTCAGAGAAACGAAATTAGATTAAGAAGAAAAAAAAAACTATAATAAGCTGTCCATCAAAAAAATTAATAAATAAAGAGAAGTTCCAAGACTAAACTAGGCTGGTGTTACCCAAGGGAAAATATTAATAAATCGGTTGTTTCCCTCTGCATGGCTCGGATTTTAGAAACTGCCACACTCGCACAAAGTTATGAGCATGATGATTAGAGAAATTTTACAGAAAGCAAATAAGAGTGAGGTACACACCATCCCTTAAGTAACAAAAGTTTGCTGAACTATAAAAGGGGAGGGAGGGAGGCTGTCAACCTACCTCTCACAAACCCCCACCCCAAGCACACAAAAATTCAGAGTACTTTGGCAATTACAGATGTAATCATGTACCAGCACCGGACTCACAGAAAACACTTCTAATATTGCAACGTAGTCATTCTACATTAAAATATACTATATTTTCTACGTAAGAAAGAAGGGTACTAAAACTAAACATACTACTTAAGATGTCACCACGTCAGTTATTAGGGCGACTAAAATGCCTCTTAATACAAAAGGAACTACCAACTTTCTATTCTGTATTTCAGTAAACCACACTACAGTTTAATGACTATCAACTCCTTGAAAAGCAAACATGTCCCTTTATAACTGTACTTTTCTTTCTCACTTTAAGATCCCGTCACAGAATGAACATATATAACTTAAATCACTGTATTTTCCCCTGTGCTTTCTTTCCATCCTCCCTTTCCGTGGAACACAAATGTATTTTTTTAGGATCACATAAATCGATACTTAACACCAGTAACTCAGTCTATTTGAAATGTGCTAAATTTTTAAAGTTCTATTAAGATGAGTTCAGGTTGGAAACGAAAAACTACCTTATAAGGGTATAAAAGACTGAAAGCAGGAAGCGGCTTTGACAAAACTAAGGAAGTTGCAGCGCGCTTGCTCACTGGGGGACTTTTTTTAAGGCAAGAGAAGTAACACATGACATCTTTCTCAAATTAAAATGTGACTTGGTTCGCCGGTTAAACGCAGTGAGAGATGGAAAAGACCTGGAGTCGAAAAGGAAGAGGAGGTGGGTGGTTAAATGAAAGCCCCGATCTAGGTTCCCATTTTCAGTCTTATTCTTCCCCTTCCCCACCCACACCCCGGGCAGTGTTGTCACAGCAATCTTGCAAAAACCTAAAAGGAGCGCTTCTCTTTTCTCGCTTCACTGCCAAGCCAGTCCACACGCTCGAACCCCTTGGTCCTATGATACCCCGGGCAGGAAGGGGCGCGAAGGGAAAGGGGCGCCGGGTGCTCCAGGATCATCAGCCACCCCCACCGCGACCACCGGCCCGGGGGTGCGACTGTGCCCGCTTCTCTCCGGCCGGCGCTGCCCCCCGAGAGCGGGAAAGGCCGGGGGTCGCGTGGAGAAAGCCACTCGGCGGGTTTCCCGGCCTCACGCCCACGTCCCGATCCCAGGGGATGAAGCGAGGGTAGAAGGGCGGCCCTGGCTGCCGGCCCCACCCCTTGCAACCCGGCGTGACTGGGACTGACACCGCCGGCGGCAGTACCTCGCCACCCCATTCATCGCCTGGCCTCCTCCCTCCCCCGCCATTTTCTTACCTCCGCCTCAGTTTCCCCACGCCCGCCCGTGAGCCCCCTTACCCTGTGCCACAGTCCACCACACAGGCCGGCAGCCGTCCCGCCATCTTCCTCCTCGCCTGCTGCTGCCGCCGCTGCCTTCTGCTCCGTGCTGATTGGGGCTGGGGGTTGGTGGCGGGAGATAGAAGCTATCCGACCATCCACAGCCGGGCCTCCCTCTACGTCCGTGGGGGAGCCGGGACGCCGAAGCAGTAGCGAGAAAGCAGCAGGCTCGGTCAGCGGCTACCACTTCCGCAACCCAGGCAGGCAGACAGTCCCCGCCCTGCCCCGCCGCGGCCTCCTCCCCTCTCTCCCTTCCTCCTCCCTCCTGCCCCCACCCTACAACTTCTTCCCCTCACGCCGCCGTAACCCGCATAGCCAAGATGGCCGCCGAAGCCGACGCCCCGGCCAGGCCAAGCCCAGGCCGCGAGCGCTCCCGCTTCCGGCTCCGAGCGGGCGGGGCGCGAGGGCATGCGCACTGAGGCGCTGCCGCCGGCCGCCGCTCCATCCCGGCGTTGCGGAACTCCACCTCGGGTTTTTCCAGCGGGTAGGGGCGGGGAAGTCGGCCTGAGCTTCCAGTTTTCCCTCTGAAGCTGGACGGCAGTTTTAGTTTCAATTACTTCTGTACAAGGTTGAGGGAGGAGTGACCGGCTTCCCGCCGCCACGAGTATCCTCCAGTGCCCAGGGGTAAACGGCCTAACTGAGAACGTTGTCAGCGGCACACAACCATTCTTGTAACTTGGAGCGTCTGACGTTCTGGGTGGGAAAGAGCGATCGATACCAGACCGAGGGTGAGCAGTGGGAGCACGGAAGACAAAGGCTTGCGCCGCGGCTCTTCTGCCTTTGCGCGGAGGTTTTATTCATTTACACTTGTGCAAATGTTACAACATTGCACATTACAAGTGTCACAGCATTGTTTAGATTCTAGGCCTCACAGTGGGCAGGACTGCCTGCATTGAGTACTCCTGGGAGTACATTCTATGTACACACATAGGTCTTTATTCAAGGCTATTGAATGACAAAGGTTTCCTCTGCAGTAGTTTTTAAGACTACTATTTTACTAGCAATATTATACCAAGTCTTAAGGATAAAAGGTTTTAATTTAAAAAAAAAGTTTAAAACCGGAAAGCCTAGAACAATGGTTTTCAAATTTAGGTGTGCATCCTAATTACCTGGAAGGCTTGTTGAAACTGATTGCTTGTGGGCCACGCCCGCAGAGTTCTCTGATGAGGTGGCCTGAAGCAGGGCCTGGTAAGGTGCATTTCTAACAAGTTCCCAGATGATCATCAGGGACCTCACCTGGGGAACCTGGTTAAAAGCTTTCCCTTCGCGGCCTATCTTTGGATAAACCATACAGTGCTTATATGAGTCTGAAATGAAAATATTTTCCCTAAGAAAGGATGTCTTATGCACGCCAGATCACACAGGGTATTGTTAGACCAGCCTGGGGATGCAATATGGGTTTTTTAATTCATTTGACATAAATATTGCTCACCTACTCTTATTGTGGCAGGACCTGTGCTGACCCTGAATATTAAGTGAAGACAAAATAAAATCTCTACTCAGAATTCACAGGTACTGGGGAAATATATAAATTGTGTTAAAAGAGCAATAGAAAGCAGAGAGAAGGGTTGCATGAGAAATGGGGTGAGGGGTGGGAGAACAGGAGGGAGGTGGAATACAGGGAAGGGTTATCTGACAAAGTGGCATTTAAAAGCTGAGGCCTGAAGGACAGTAGGAAATGGGGGAAGGGTGAAAAGGAAGGGAGCCCTCCAGAACAGAGAACAGCAAGCAAGAGTCAAGAACCTGAGGTGGGAAAGAGCTTGGCTTCTTCCAAAAATTGGAAGACCAGCCAAATGTTCAAAGGGAAGTAAGCCAGGGAAGATTCAATGGGAGGTGAAGCCCGAGAGATAAGAATCAACAATGCAAAGATTTGTAGGCTAATGTAAGCATCTTAAAGTTTAGCCCAAAAGCAACTTGGAATCCATCAAAGAGATTTAAGCAAGGAAATGTGGCTGCGTTGCAGGGACTGGATCCCACAAAGTAAAGTGAAATGAGTGGTCTTCTGTCATACATTGTGTTCTGTATGTAGTTCATAGACAGACATATAAGGCATAGTGTCCAGATGCAATCAGATATGTGCACAGGAGACTCACTTAGGGGTATTACTGTTGTCATTAGTGCCCAGCATATCCACAGCTACTCACAGAAAATAAATAATCCGTCAGAGGAGACTTTTCCTCAGAGATTGTTTTCCAAAAAGTCAGACAAGTGGTTCTTCGTTCAGAGGCATAGTTGTTTTTTCCCTGCATTTTAAAAGATACTACATGGGGATTCTTTGTCTTTGAAGTGTTTTCCATTATCAGGTATTTAAGGTCATTTGAAGAGCAGATGCCTGAACAGTGCCCCTGATAGAAGAGAAGGATGTGGCTTGGTTGGGGGAGAGCGAAGGTTGTTTCCAGCATTACAGATCAAAGTCAGAGATAAAGGGATCCTACCAAAAGAATCCTGATGATAAAGGTTACAAACTTGAACAAGTCAGTCAGAGAAGCCCACACTAGTAGATCCTTAACTAGCTGCCCACATGCTTGCCTTGGGTAGGTTGTCATGGAAGTAGTGACGTCAAGGGTTAGAAATTGGAATGCTGCCAGGGTCCAGGCAGGTGACATGATGAGTGAAGAGCACCAAGAATAGGGTATGGCAACGTGGAGAACCGCTTCCCCACAGAAGGCCATAGAAAACTGTTACTATGCAGGAATGCAGGCCGGGTGTTGCGAGAACCTCCCTTTTTTCAAGAAAAGCCAGAAATTTGTGTTTTTATCTGTTGGTAACTAATTCGCTGTAGACTACTGAGCCTGTGGGTTGCCAGTTTTCAACTTTGATTTCAAGGGCTGTTTAATGTTTACTTGTGTGTTGTAGTCAAATATGAAGCTCTTGTCAGTACTATATCTCATAGGCATAAGAAAACCTTTCACCATAGTCCCTCACATAGGCAAAACTTTCCTTTGTCTATAAAAGCTGTCACTGTTAGAAGAATCTGGAAGCTTCCAATACTTGTTGGAAGTATTATATGTGCTTATTCCTCATAATTTGTCTACCCAAACAGTTGGCTTGCTTAAGATCCCTTCTACTTCCTGCTTGCTACATGCCATATTGGTCAGCCTCTGCATGACTGTGGTAGCTCAGCCTTGCTTGGCTTTGCACAGTCTTCAGATACACATCCGGCCAAAGTATTTCTGACCATCCTGCTTGCATATGCACCTTCCCTGCTGCAAATACAGAGAAGCAGAGAATATCAGAGCCTCTTAGAGAATCTTGTTGGATATGAAAAGGAAAGCAGTGATGGATGAGGTTTGTTTGACTGCCCTACATCCATTCTTCCCTAAAAGCACCCTGATTTTCTTTTAGTTCAAGTTAACCAGGTCTTGATTCTTGTCTGTTTCCAAGCCTGGTCTCCAACCTTTCAAGCATTTGTGAGTCTCGCAATATTCTTCTAATCAATCTCCTTTTGGTGAGTTCCATCAATTGCATCAAATTTAAGAACCCTAATGATAGAAGCCCAGAAAGTTTAAGTGACTTTCCTAGTATCTTAGAGAAACTAGGGAACAAAATCCAGACCAAAGCCGAGTTCTGACCTCATTTCAGAACTGTTTAGCTGTAATGTCACAAGTGTTGTTTAATTTTGATTGTTATAGTGGTTACCAGTTACCATGAAATTTCCTAGCTTTTTCCTCTGCTTTAAGGCCAACTGAGCCAATGAGCATATGTCTCTGGATCTTAAAAGTATCTAGGAAATTCATATGTCACTCAGTCTCCATTATTTTAAAATGGTAAAAAATTTTTTAAAGGAGCTTAGGTTGCAAGGATGACTGTTTACAAATTGGCAGACCAATCAAGTCCACAGACAGCATTAATTAAGGGCAGATAGATAAATGGTCACAATGTCCAGGCAGCCTAGTGGTCAGAGGGGGTGGCAGTGAGCTATGTCTTCTCCCATCTTAAGTTGTGTGATCATAGACAACCAACTAACTTAGTTGTAAGAGAGAGTCCTGAACTTTGAAGCCAGAGGCTTGAGCTGAGGATGAGCTCTTTAAATTAGTGTTTCTCCATCTGTAAAATTGCAGAAATACCTAACCAATGGGATTGTCATAAAGCTTGAACTTTAAAAAAGCATATTGTAAATTATACAATGGTCTTGTGGTCATATCAAGAGGTATATGGTTTAATTATAAAGTAATGACTCTTACTTATTACTTAAATGTACACACTGAAACATCCAAAAACTTGTCTTCCTTGTCACAGAAGTTATCTTGAGGTCTTTGTGCTTATTCATTTAATGCTCTCATTGTGCAAAATATTTAGAAGGTCACCTTCAGACTTGCCTTTGTAGTCTGTGGCACATGCCTTTAAATATCTTCATTGGTGACAAATCTTGGCCTTTTTGGGTAAATTTCATTTTTGGAATTAGCCAAAAGTCATTTTTTCCAAGGCAAGTCCAGTGAATAAAACAGCTGACCAACAATGGCTGTTTTTTTGTGAAAAGCTTTGTGTGACTATAAAGTAATAAAACTGATTTTCATAGGTGAAACTGCTTCTGACCATGAACTTCTAAAAAGACGTTCCAGAAAGATTTTGCACAATGGCCACATCCCACAAATAAAAATATTTAAATTCATTATAGTTTAATTTCAATTGAAGATATATTTCATATAGTACTAACATCTGTACAGTGTTTGAAATGAGGAGAGATTCTATGAGATTTCACCCTAGTCTCCCCAACCTCCTGTGAAATGTGGATAATTTATTTGAAATGTAACTCAATTTGAAAGAAAATAAAAGGCTATACACACATATCATATTATATATAGGCCATATAAACAAATATAGAGCAAATTCCAGGTGGACTGTGAATCTTCAGTATAGAACAAAATCCATACTATTCAGTGTAGTCTGCTAAGCTCTCTGTGTTCTGGTGCCTGCCTCCCTTTCCAACTTGTCTCCTCCTTTCCCTGATGCATTAGCCACATCTGCCTTATTGTTTTTCACACACACCAAAGCCATTCCTTCCTGCCTCTTCTCTTCTAATCATTAGTTATTCATGAATGAGTTTAAATCTCACCTCCTCAGAGAAGCCTTTCCTGACCACCCATGCCAAAGTAACCTGTTTCACTCTGCCATGTCCCGAAGTTTTAAGTCTGTACTACCTTGTTATTGGTTCATTTGTTTATTGCCTCCCTCTCCTGACTAGAAAACATCCCCACTAGAATATGAAGAAGACCCAGCTCATTATAAGAGCTCAACAAACATTAGTTGAGTGAATGAGTCAAAGGATAAAAACAAAACTGTAAATATATAAAGGAAAATTTAGAAAAATATTTGCATGATCTCAAAGTGGGAGACTTTCTTTAAGTAGAAACCCATAGCCATTAATTGAAAGATTTGGTTGCAAGACCAATTTCCATTGACTAAAGATTTCTTTAGAAATTATAGATTAGAAGAAAACGGTTACAACACATATGACAAAAGTTATTATGTCTAGTTAAAAATGCAAATAATGCGATAGAAACATTGGCAAAAGGTATTAACACAAGCTCCATACAGAGGAATTTAAATGAACAATTAATATGGGAAAAGAGGTGGTAGTAGAAGCACAAATTAAACAATGACAGATACTGCCTTTAAACTTCCTAAACATTTAAAAAGAAAAACACTAATAGGAAAAAAAATAACGAATGAGTGAAGGAAAATGGACATGTAGTGAACACAGTTCCCTGAGAATATAAATTGCTGCAACCTCCTACAAAGTTAACTGTCAATATCTATTAAAACTTGAAGTTTGTAAAAATTAGCCTTAGGAATCCATTTTGTTGAACTCTAAAATAAAGGTACTGATGTTGAAAGGAGAGATTATAATCATGACTAATTATTTAAAAGTTTGAGGAATTAGAAATACATTCTCCAATTGAAGGACTCTGGGACCAGGCAAATAAAGTTTTTTTTTAACTTAGAAGGGGAGGCTTCTTGAGGGGCACTCATAATCTCCTATATGTTTGTATTAACTTGTAGGGATTGGTAGCAAAGAATGATACGTGTGCTTTCTCCTTAATAATGGTACCTGTATTTTATTCACGTGCCTATGTGCCTAGCCAAAAGACCTCATTCCTCAATCTCATTTGCAACTAGATGTGGCTGTGTGATTAAGTTATGGCCAATGAAAGATTTGTAGTTGAGTGGAACTTCTGGAAAATATCTTTAGCAAAGGCTGACTCAGGAATAGCACCATCTTGTATTTTTGCCCTTCCCTTTTCTTTCTGCCTGAAATACAGATAAAATGGATGACTAACTGACCTTTAAGACTTGAAGCTATGTCCTAAGGAAGGTGGAGCAGAAAAATAGGACAAGCTTCAGGTCCCTTATGACCCTGATGTGCTGTCTTAACCCTTGACCACCCACCTTTGGATTTATTTTACATAAGAGAAAAAGCCACTATAATTTGGCATTTTAGTTATATGCAGCTGAATCTGATTCTAATTGATAATACCATGATAAAGTGTTCAATGCAAAAAATTTAAGTTGCCAAGTAGTATCACAAGGATACAAACACAAATGCTTATAGGTGATTGGCTGATAATATAGAAAAGTATAAATAATAGGGAATGGAGAGGACCAAGGCCATGTGGAAAGCCCATACAGCGTTAGTAATATTGCCATGCAGACATGTAGACCCAAATGTACCAGTTTTTCATGTTAAATTTTTCCCAATGTCTTGCAAATGGACTAGACTTTGGGCCCTTAGTTTGTGTGATTTGTAGTGTGATCTATTATTTAGAAAAATGGGGGGAGTAAATGAAGGAGAAAGTAAGGTTATTTTCTTATATATAAATAAAGGAAAAGTAATTTATTTAATGTAAATTAAAATCAGTATACATTAATTTTATAATTTAAAAAAATCTAGCAAGGTAGAAGGAAAATTGCTGAGAAGTTACCCAAACTAGAAATCCACTACAAATGCACAACAGAATCATAGAAAGTCTTCAGGATAATTCAGTCTGAGCAAGTTCAGTCTTTTCAGGAACGGGTCATTAAGTATTAATACCTAACACTAAAAATTACAGATTTGAGATGGGAACACAAACATACTGTAGGTTACAGTGACTTTTACTAGGTGGAGATGAATTGGAAATCATATGTAAACATGCACTTGCTAGTTGAAGAAAAAAATGTTCCAGGAAACGGTACCTTGATTATTTTTTTAAGTAAGAGATATAAATAAGTGCATTCTTAGTTCTTTGAAATTACATTGTGGCCCAATGTGTACATTGTATCCAGTTTAACACATCATGTTGTTTTTAAAACCAGTTCTAGTTTTAGAGCAGCTCATACTTTAAAATATTTGTTGATTTTTCCTACTTTTGTGTCAGGCATTACTAACCCCTCCAAAACACGTATTTTAAAAATGTTCAGGCTTCTCATTTCCATCTAAAACTGCATTTGGTTCCAGTTTGGTGAGAAGAAACCAGATAGAGTACATTTTTTCTGACCCATCTATTTTCATCCTTTGGTAAATTTGACAACCTATGACAGTTCTTGCATTTCTGGAACAAACCTCCCAATTATAGGAGAAGCTAATAATGATAATATGATCAATAATAAATTATTTAATTTGGGGGGATACCCAAAATAAAGTTTATCAAACTTTCTTCTCCTTTTTCCCCCCACCCCAATCCCGACCCTGAGCATTTATGCCAAGGGAATTATCCTTCAGCAGCAGTCAATGGATCTAACATTGTGTCAATGCTTTCTCTCATAGAATAATAGCTTTGCAGAAGGAAACTCTTATACCTCCCCAGTTTAACAAATGAAGAAACTGAGTTAGAGTTAAGTGACTTATTTGAGATCTCACAACAAACTAGTAAAGTACTGCTACTTAAATATATCTCTAGAGATTCATAGACTATAAAAGCTCTATTGAAAGCCCGCATAATTCATGTGCAATAGAACACATTCAAAAATACTATAAAATCTGCTATAATGTCCTGTGGTCAAGGCATTTGCAGTAAATGAGAGAAACCAAACTCAAACCAGCTTGAGAATAAAAAGGAATTTTTTCTTTAGAGAGAGGGGAGCTCAAGTTGTAAATTCCAAGGTGTAAATTGGGTTCAAGTGTAGCTAGATACAAAGGCTCAAAAATAATCAGAATCTGCCTCTCTTTCTTTTGGCTTTGCTTGACACTGTGTTGGCTTCATTCTCAGGCAGCTTTAGTCACACAGCTGAAAAATGGCTGATGTTCCAAGTTTATCACCCGCAGGGCAGAGTACATCTTTCTCAGTGGCCCAAAGGAATTCGGAATAACTCTCCTTGGCTGGCTTGGATCAGGAGGACTTCCTGACCACTTTATTGTGACTCTAGTTGGCCAAGCATGGGTCGCATACCCTTCCTTCTCCCCATCAGTCCCACCAGAGAGAACCACATGGAAAGCAAGAGAAGGCAGGATAGTCACAAAGGGAAAAAAAACATGTTTATTATCCAAAGAGAGATAATGAATGTAAGGCAAGCAAAAGTGAAGTCCACTAAATTTATATTCAATGGTTAACTGATACAAACAAGTTAATTTCTTGTGGAGGGAGCTCATGATATTTTTATTAAAAAAAAAATACTACCAATGCTAAAGAAGAGGATACTCTAAAAGCAGAAAAAATAGAAACACACTAAAAATTATTCTGACTTTGCCAAAAAAATCTTTTTTGTATGTGTGTTTATATTGCCAATCCATAAACAAACATAAAGGCAAATGAAAGCTAAAAACGTTGGACATCTACCAACCATTACATTAATTTAAATGTTTAATGATTCCCTCAATCCTGCACTCAGAAAGCAATCATTATATTTTTATAGTAGCACTCTTTTGGTTTCCATTTCATCTGAAATGCTGATGACTTGTATTAGCTTCACTGACTAGTAGTCTGTTAGAAGGTATATAATTATTCAGTCCATAAAGAGTACTGGCTTCATGCACAGCCAGTTTTTATCATAGTGTAACTGAACTCTGCTCTTCATTTATCCATTTGTTCATTTACTTATGTTATGTGCCAGTTATGAAGCAGGAACAAGGCTGGAGACTAAGAGATGAGTAATTTGCAGCCCCACCTCTAGAAGAAGTCAAAGTACAAGAAGGGAACAGACAAGTAAAAATTAAAGTACACCATGAAGAGGGATTTGCACAGGGCTTGAGAAGCTGAGGACGACCCACAGTGTATTCAGCTGACGGACCTGGGAAAGATTCAAAGAAGAAAGTTCAGGAGACACTTTCCAGGGTGGAAAAGGAGGTGAAAGGCAATTCTGGAGAGAAAAACATGTGCAGTGACACAGAGGCTTGAAGGAACTGTGGGAGTTTCAGGAATGAGTTACAGCTGTGGCTGAGATACAGGGTGTGTGCAGGGGAAGGGTCAATGTGAGTGACTGTGTGCTAAGTTTGGACTTTATCCTGCAGTTCCAGAACCCAGGTCCTCCAACTAGGACCAGACTGACAGTAAAGAACCATCTGGAGAACTTGTTAAAAGTACAGAATGCCCAGGCCCCACTTCTAGAAATATTGGCTCAGGAGGAATCTGTTTTTTTTTAAAAGTTCCCCATGTGATTCTGGAGCACATCCAACTTTGAAAACCACTGCATGTAGGCACTGGGGATCCATCAGAGGGTACTGGGAAAGAGAATGACTTGCTTTGGAAAGAGCTCTTTTGCCAGTGGAGAGTTGCAGTAGAGCCAGTCAAAACAAGGTATGGAGAGATGTGATGGAGACTATTGGGATGGAGCAATTAAGAAAAGGGAGCACCTGAATATCAGAGGTAGCAGAGAAAGCAAATACTCAGAGTTCAATAAATGAAATCTGCAAGACAGGTGATCTGTTTGATGTGGGAAGTGTGGCACTCGTAGATTCTAGTTTGTAAGGGGTACCCTTGAGAACTGGGAGTGAGAGGAAGGTGGGAAGTGTGGCTGTGTGTACAGCAGTGTGATGTTAGCTCAGGGTGGGAGACCAGCTGGAGCTGGCTTGGGCTGGAGGACAAGGCTTGGGACTAGGCTACCCAAGGTCCAGAGGCTCAGATCTGTGAATCCTGAGTTTGAAAACTTGCTGGTGACTCCTTGCCTGGGGCCATCTCCCTTCTTTGTGCCACATATTGTCCCTGCCAGTAGTTAACCCTCATAGCTCCCCAAAGCAGGAAATTATATGAGTCCATGTTCTCAGAGCCTTACTTGGTGCCTGTACATATTTGATGCTCACAGTTCGAAGTGAGTGAATTTTATTAATTACCTAGATAATATAATTATAGCTACAACAGCCTCATTATATCTTTGTAGTCTGGGCCTTTGTGTGTGTGTGTATGTGTGTGTGTTTATATAAACTTGTCTTTATTTTTAATTAAAGTATAATTAATATACAATATTACAATGGTTGCAGGTATTTAACAGTGATTAGACAATTGTAGACATTGCAAAATGCTCACCATAATGAGTGTGGTTACTTTCTGTCACAAAGTAATTACAATATTATTGACTGTATTTCCTTTGCTGCACTTTTCATTCCCATGACTTATGTATTTTATAATTGGAACTTTGTACTTCTTTATCTCCTTCACCTATTTTGCTTGTCCCCCCCAACTGCTCTCCCAGATGGCAACCACCAGTTTGTTCTCTGTATTTATGAGTCTGTTTCTGTAGAAAGTTGTATTTCTATAATTCTCCATGCTTTTTTCATTACTTTCCAAAGTGTACATTTTTATGATGAATAAGAGTATGCAAAATATATTGCTTTCTTCTAAACATTAATTATTGCAAGATGCCTGTGTAATTAGTGAACCAGGCATCTTCTACAGATAATAGATTCCACCAGAAAGGGCTTGATTAATAAAACATTATTTGAAAATTTTTCAACCTAATTAACTAAAGACAACGAATAATTTTTAATACAGTTGTCCAAATAAGCATATACGGATCCACAGAGATTAATTTTAAGTAGAGTGGTATGATCACTTTAAAGTATCTTTTTTTCTTATGTTCCTACATGAAGTAAATGAGAGGCTTTACTCAAGCCCCAAGGAGTCACTGAAGTGAAAAATAAACAAATAATAGAAGGGTAGAAAATTATAACGTGAGAGTGACATCACTTTTTATGTACATGCTTTCCTTCTGTTCACTGTTAGTATGATTCCTTTTTTATTTATGACCCATTATTTTTACCATCCTTATTGTAGATAACTGCCCTCTGAATATGGAACAGAAATACCCTACTTACAGGGTTTCAAATTAACAGAAAACTCAAATAGTTACAATTTATCTTTATAGTCTACTTTCATGACAAAAAACAATGACAAAGAAGCAACTGCTATCAGTGATTTCAAAGTACAATTTCCAAGCAGATGTGGGAATTAACTGTGGATAACCAAAACATTTAAAATGACAGATACTAGCAAACACTAAGAGTGTGTTTGAATTCTGATTTCTACATTTGAAACTGGTTATTTGGCATGAATTCTTACATTTAGATAATTAATTGTATCTCTTTCTTTGTTCCTGGTGTGTGTTCATGTTCTGTTCCCTTGATATGGTCTAATTATTGTGAACATCTATAACTCCTGCTTCTCCTGATCTCCAGGAAACTGTTCTATGCTTCCCAGTTTATAGTTTATGATATGCATGTGCTAGTCTCTTACATTGACTCAGCTCTTGTTTATGACCCTGTGTTCTGTGTGTATATACAATATCAATCACACCTTACTAGTGTGACCCATCCCCTGGTTTTGGCTTCTCTGACCTGTTTTGACCTCGGGCTACCCTAAACCCAATATAATATACTGCTCCAGCCTCAGCGTGCTGGTCATTTGCCTACTTGCTTTCAGAGCCTTTCATTCTTTGCCCTACTTTTGTCCTGTTGAAGGAAGCTGATTCCTGCCAACTCCATTTGTAGACTCATTTGCCCAGGCCCAAAGGAATTGGGACAATGAAAGATAAAAAGATTAAGTAGCAACACTGGCAGAAGAGAAGCCAAGGTATTTCTCCCCTTCTCTAATTCAGGAAGTTTCTCCCACAGTGGCTACTAGTCCTCTGTGGTTCCCATTCAAGGTCCAGCCAGGGACAGTGGCACCAGGGCTCTGTTAACCCAGCTCCTCTGTTGGATTCTCCAAACCCAGGGATGGAGTGTAGAGGCTTCCTGCTATTGCTACTCTCTGAAGTGCCTCTCTTTCCCCAGCTTGGTTTTCTAACACCTTTGTAACTAGTCCCTGGTATTAAATTCCCTCAACTGAACTACATCACTTGGGCTCTGATTGCTGACTGACCCCATCTCATACCCTGAGGGAACAATACCTGACAAGTTGTTAGGCAAAGAAGAAAACCATTGCCATCATCACAGAAGAATTTCTAGAGATATTACAAAGCTTACATCCCAAAATGTCCAACAGAGATATAAAGTAACTAATGAATATGTTGTTGAAAATACATAATACAAGCAAACAGTTCTTGGATTTTTTTCAAAGCTACTTTAATTTAGTTCTTATCTTCATTCATTAGTAATCTCCCATCAATAGGGAAACCATGGGGTATGGAGCAGAGTGAACAAAGAATCCTGCCCACACAGATCCCAAAATAAATCCAAGTACATTTGCCGGCACAAAAGGAAAAAAAGATGCAATCAGCACCCAAAGTAGGAAACAAAACACATTTAACACTGTTAATGTTAAGTAACAATAAAGACCTCTGAAGATCTCTGCTGCTCTTCTCTCAGAACTTAATCTCTGCATTAATTTGATTTTCCCGTGACACAAAGCAGTCAAGCTTATTGCATGGAAAAGTCCAGGACGTTTGTCAGTGGCCTGAACGGACTCATCCTTTGAAATGGGTCATACTTTTGTACTCTGATGAAGTTTAAGGTGGTAGTTTCATGATCTTGGGTAGAATTCAGTTAATCATGTGTAGCTTCTAAGCATATCTTTTTCTGGTTTTGTGGAGATGGAACAGAACTAGAAGCCACAAAGGGGACTGGTGTTTTTCTTCAAGCAGTGATAGGCCACATGTTAGTTTCCTGGGGCTTCTGTAACAAAGTACAGCAAACCAGTGGCTTAAACAACAAAAACATATTGTCTCATAATTCTAGAGGCTAAAAGTCTGAGACTGAGGAATTCACAGAGTTGCCTCCCTCTGAAAGCTGAGGGGGAAGGGTCCATTCCAGGCTTGTGTTTTAGGTTCAGGTGGTTTCCTGGCAATCTTCAGGGTTCTTTGGCTTGCAAAAGCCTCATTCTGATCTCTTCCTCCTTCACAGGCATTCTCCCTGTGTGTGTGTGTTTCTGTGTCTGCATTTCCCTTTCATAAGGACACATTTTGGATTAGTGCCTACTCTGATGATCTCATTTTAAACTTGGTTACCCCTATAAAGACCCTGTCGCTAAATAAAGTTACATTCTGGGTACTAGGGGTTAGGATTCCAACGTGTCCTTTTGATAGGGACACAACCCCGTACCTGATTAGCTCAGTATCATCTGTTCTAAACTCTTTTTTCCACACACATGTACCCATTTTTTGCCACCAAAGCCTTCCAGCAGAACCTGTGGTCAGGAAAATATGTGGCAAACTCATTCACACTGACAGATAATTGCCTAAAATTGTCTTTATCGTATTTGTAAAGTACAATAGTCTAAAAACATAAAGCAATGATAAGAAACCAATAAAGTTTAATATGCTGTTCCAGGAGGGCCTAGAACTATCCACAGGTTCATGAATCACAAGGAATTAATGCCCATTCCTCACTATAATATAATTGGTAGCAACAGTTGGAGTTATGAGTAAAAACTTGCTAAACAGCCCTTGGTTTTCATTTTAATTAAGACTGCATTTTCTAGTTATGACAAAGTAAGGTTGAATTCCATGTTGTTGATACAAGGCTATGCGCTCATACCTCCCTACTACAGATTACTGTAAATTTCTTTGTTAACTCTAATAGAAAATGTCAACATTCCTGAATGAACTGCAAACTTGATAGCTGCTGTAAGGTTGGAGGCACTAGAGACAGGGGTGAGCAAGTCGGACACTGATGACGTGCCAAAGTCTCCGGCTGCCGCCCCCTCCCAACCTGAAAAATGTGCCTTAGGCTAGCCAATCCTCGCGCCGCTGTAAATCTATGCTCTGCCTCCCCCTACCTTCTTTAAAAAACTCCCCACCTGTCTAGTTGCGCGTGACTTCTCCAGCCTGTGTTTCAGACTGGTGAACCTCGCCCAGGATTGCACTCAAATAAACTGCCTGGTCCTTTGTTGCCTCTCGTCGCCTGCTTATTTCGGTTAGAATTTATCTTACACTTGGTGCCGAAAAAACCCAGGAAGGGGCGTGAGCACAGGGCCCCGACCGGCCATCGGCAGCCCTACCCCCTCCTTCCCCAACCTGGAACCTCAGCCTGCTCTCCGCTGTGTGGAGTATTTTCCCGTGAGTCCCTCAGTTTCCCCCAGTCTGTTTCGCTTCCTAACCCCTTTTCACCTGGTCTGTTCGAAATTGTTGCTACATCCAGGTTGGGGCATCCGGCCCATCCGCTGCGGGCATCTGGGATACTCGCCCCTGGCCCTGCAGTGTGGGAGACGTCCCTCACCCAGGCTCCCAGGCCGTCTCCCCTGACTTGGCGCGCTTGGGACGCTGGGCACTCCTCTCAGCAGGATTAGTTGGGAGGGTGATGCAGACATGGGGAACCAGCCCTCGAAAGCAGAGGCTCAGACCCCACTGCAGTGTCTCATTTCTAATTTGGCTACTCTATATTTGTCCCGGGAAGTTCACAAACAGAAGCTAGTCTTTCTTTGCTCTGAGGCTGGGCCTCACTATCCCTTGGACAATCAATCTCGCTGGCCCCCTGAGGGAACTTTCAATTTTGGCCTCCTCACTGACTTAACTAATTATTGCCATCGGAGCAGAAGGTGGAATGAAATCCCATATGTGCAGGCTTTTGGCCTGCTCCTGCCCAGACCTTTATGTTAAGTGTTCAACGACCCAGGTTCTCCTGGCCCCATCTCCAGTTAAGGATTGTCAGCCTCTTACTCTGCCCAGTCCTTCTTCCTTTTCAGATCCGCCGGACGACCTTAGTCTCCCACCTCTCTCAGCTCGCTAACCCCACCCCTTTCTGCCACCATCTTTAAGTTCTTTGTCCTCCCCTGTGTTGCTGCCATCTTAAAGTCCTACATTCTCAACCATGCCGTCTTCCTGCTCCTCTCCTCTTCCGGTGGCTGCACCACCCCTCCCCCTCTCCTTCCGCCTTCACCGCCCTCTTCCCCCATGGGAA